TCTGATTTGTTTGAGTGTTTCAAATGGCCGGTAGAGCCTGGCACTGCTCTGATGAGGCCTGTTGGTCACAGCAAGGAGGGTCTGTAGTTTGTGAGCAACAGCTTTGGTGCTTCCTAGGCAGGCAGGGCTGTGAGGGATCATTCTAGGCGAGGTAGTTACAGCAGCCTCCATCTCCTCTGGCCCCGCAGAGATGGTTCAGATGTGGACTGTTGAGTGCTCGTGCCTGAAACTTTTGTGCCAGGCACTGCAGTGATCCCAAGCAGGTGCTGTGCCCATAACATATCTGGGTGTGAGCAATGACAGATAAATGGGGTGTGCGGAGGCATACATTGGATGGCTAGAAACGTGCTGCCAATACTACAGCTATCTTCCTCCATATGGTGACTCAAGCATTTAGGATTTATGATATGATTTACTGAGAGGGCGGTAGCCTGGGGGAGACACAGCTCATAGTCTCTCTGAAAAGTCTTATGAGGTCTGTGCCTCTCTCTGGATTTTGGCCAAAGAGACCTCAGTTTAACATAAGGGGTTAGAAGCAGGAAATATGAAACAGCTGCTATGGCTGTAAGCAAGCCAGAAATTGAGAAGAGGGAAAGGCCTTTGGGTGTTACACTTGGACACTGGCAAACAGGAGACTTTTTTGTTTTCCTTCTCTCTTTTTGAGTTGGCATCAGGAAGGAGATCTTAGGACACAGAACACAAGTCAGGACATCTGAATAGGTCTGAATGGTGTGTGGGAAAGGTACCTCTGCAAAGAGAAACATTGAGGGCAATGTTAGGCTGTGGAAAGGGCAAATGAGACTGCAGGGTTTTGAAAGGTCTGCAGGTGGGGTTAGTGATAAAAGAGAGGATGAGACTCTTGTGTATCCTGCCCAGACTTGTGAAGTCATGAAAATCCCCAAAGCTTTAATTTCAGCCTGGAATTAGGCATATCAAGAGGACAGTTCAGTTGATTGTGCTTAAGGTGGGATGAATCATCCCCTGCAAGGGTCTGTTGTCTCAACTGACAGTGAAGGCAACTATGGGTCGCTAGTGCAGAGTGGATAAACCCCTTTTGGGGCCTGACCCTTCACGGAAAGCCCCCGAGAGGCTTGTCCAGCCTGCTTGGTCCTTTCCGAAGCATTTGACACAGTGACAATCGGAGGAAGATGCAAGAAGCCTCCTGTTGCCTCCCTGGAGGGGAAGCTCTCACTGGCTAGAACACAGCAGGTTATATTCTTTTCTTTAGATGAGTATTCAAATAATTTAATAGTGGATGTTCTCATTCTTCATATAATGATGTAGTTGTTTTTGTGGTTCTAATGCTCTCATGACCTCAATATCTTCTGCAAGTGAGCTTCTCAGGTTAATTATGCATTAAGTTTACATAAGGCTTTTCCTTTTTTAATCAGTTTTAAACGTGCTGCCTTCAGATGTGCTGAATGCCCTGACACTATGTGCTAGGAGGGGTGTTTATAGGAGCGCCGTATCCACTTTGTCAGTTCTTCTGTACGCTAACATCATGTCTCCTTTATTTGTGACCCTGTTGAATAATAGTCCAGACTTTTGGGGCTTTATTTTGTCCTATGTGTGCTCCGATGTGCTCCCTACTGTAACATAAGGAATGTATTAACTGATGTGACCAACACATTGTGTGTTCATTTTCCTTCAGTCTGGGATAGAGAAGTGCACGTGTCTCTGGAGGAGCCTGTTTGGGAGTTGCTTGGAGGTGTTTTTCTTAAGCAGATGCAAGCTGTCCTGTGTGCTGTGTGTGAGTGTATCCAAGGAAGCAGGGGAAAAGTGCCTTGCACTTGAAAGCACTTCTCTCTCCTTTCAGAGATCTCTCTATTTCTGTTCTCCTTCTCTTTGCTTTTCTTTGGGTTTCCTCTTCTATTTCCTCATCACTTCTGAGGTGGATGAGCAGCAGCTTTCACTTTCTGAAGTCTAAATCCTTGACTCTAAGGGTTTCTGTAAGACTGCATAGCAGGGAATTGGATAATGTCATTCTTTCCTCAAGGTAAGCTTGTATTGTTTGCAAAGTAACTTGGCAGGCTTGTGTATTTTGGATTTAGGCACCCCGGTGTATAAGCCAAAGCTAACACATATTAATTAGCAAGAGGTCTAGAACAGTTATGAGGGCAGTCACTCACATAGGTTGGGGTTTTTGTTTTAAATGCAAGTAATTAAAAAATGAAAAAGGGAAAGTGTGTTGAAAAAGTCAATGTTTAAAAGATGTTATGTAAATAACACCCTCCTGGGTGAGACTTGGAGAGGAAGTTGGGGGAAAGAATAACAACCAGGTTGCTGGTGTAATGGCAGCTGTGGTGCCTGGCTACAGGGGGCTTTATCCTGCAAGCAGGTGAAATGGAGTAAAGGAGAAGTGTTACGTTTTTTAAATGGTGGGCCAGGGGAAGGACCATATGAGCTGGAAGAGCCTTGCCAGCATATTTGGAAATAGTGCTGGGGAGCGGTGTCTTTGGAGAATCCCTAAAAGCTGGCAATGCAAGGCAGTGACACGCTCGAGCCAACAGGGAGGCCAGCCCCAAGCTGGAGAAGGAGTATGGAAAGGCCAGCGTGGGCGGCTCTGTGTTGAAGGGGATCCTATAAAAATGCTGCCCTCCCGTGGCCTGTGTGAGCTCAGTGGCTCCTGAATGACGTTCTTTACCTGGAGGGGAAATGCCAAGCGAAGCACGCTTGTCTGCTGGGTTAAGCACCAGCACGACGTTTCTCTTGGACGTTGCCCAAAGCTGGGCTGGATCCAGGCTTTATATAGGGTCATGCTTTTGGGTTGGCCCGTCCCCCCGCCCCTGGCTGTCCCATGTCCTGGCAGCTCCCTGTGGCCACCAGCTGGGCAGCAAGGCAAGGTCTCACCTGGGTTTGTGTGTGGACAGGGGTGGTCGCATGGCAGCAGCATGACCCGCTGACCTCAAGCTGGAGGTAGGACAGGCTGAGCAGCCCTGGGCAGTGCTATTTACATGTTTTCAACCCTTTTTCTCCTCCAAGTCCCAGCTATCTGCAGTGACGGACAAGTCCTTCCCTTCTTTGGGTGGCATACACTGAAGTGGGTGGGGATATATAAATCAAATGTGAACACTGAGCTTTGTCTCTAGCTAAAATATTAAGCTTCTTAAAGAAAATCATGTGCATAAACAACCTCCTTAGACACACTGAAAAGTCAAGTTCCCCCCTGGTGTTGGCTGCTCTGAGCTTCCCTGTTGCCATCTCTCGAGTGCAGCCCTTCAGAACGGCCATTTCGGAGCGTGCGAAATCGATTTGGCGTCTGCCCGCCTCAGCGGAAGAAGATGGCGGTGCAGGGCTGCAGCACCTCTTCCTTCCCTCCTTTCACTGGCGCTTTATTTTCGCGATGCCTTATTCCCACCGCTTGTCTCGAGGGTACGGGACAGATGGCTCCAAATCTCTCGCTGCTGCTACGTCGAGTGCCGGCAGGTTAGCGGCATTGGCTGAGTATGCCGGATCCTCTCGGCACCTTCTGGGGAGGCAAAACAATAAAAAACAAATTTACAGCTACCCCTCCTCAGGTAATTTTTGCAGTGTGAAGACCCCCTGCTGCCCACCCCCTTTGCGTGCAGCGTCCTCTAATTAATTAAGCACTGATGAATGCGGTATTAATTCCTGTTTCCGTAGTACCCGAGGATGGTGGGGAAGGGGGGCCGCTCGCCAAGGAGGGTGGCGAGACCATCTAGAGCCGCTGTCCTAGTGGCAGATCCTAATTAGCCCCTGTGATAACATTTGATCACTTCCTGTAATGTGCCATTTCAGAAACACTTTGCCGCACCCTAGTGCGCAGCCCGCTCCGAGCCAACTTTTTTTTTCCTCGGGCGGCTCTGCCGCGGGCCTTGGCGACGATCTCCTCTCCCCGAGTTTAACAGCCGCAGACTGGTTTTATGGAGCTGGGTGGTGGTGGGGGGGGAGAAGCAGAGCAGCCCAGTGCTGCTCCTGCTTTTTCAGTCTGTCTCCAGGTTTTAGGGCTGGAAATGGGCAGGTATGTTGTATATGCAGGAGTGAAAACTGCGTCAGGCAATAAAGAGGCCAACATGCCCCCTCTTAGCTCATAGCTGTTGCAGGGCTCTTTATTTTCTTTTGGTTAGGTTTTTTGTTTGTATATGTGACCTGCCCTGCTCCCACCCGGCACCTTGCCCCGAAGGAGGCCGAGGCCTGCGGCCGGGCAGGCCCCTGCTCGTCGTGGTTCGCCTGCAGCAAAATAGCAAACAAACGAGCAAATATTAACTGCTGTGGTGCTTTGAGAGGTGAACACGGCTTCTCAAGGCCTTGGGGAAAGGTGTCCTGTAGGCAGGGGAGTTGCCTGCCTGTTCCTCACCGTCGTTTCATGGCGTGTGTTTAAATTCGGACATGTGCTTCCCTGGGTTTTTTTCCCCTTCCCTCCCTTTTTCTTTTAACTCTTCCCCCTTCCTTCCCTCAACAACAACAAAAAAACCCCCAAAAACAGAAAGAAACCCAGTGTGTGCTGACAGTGGGTTTCTCGGCAGTAGCCGGCCCCAAAGGCGGCTGGCGCAGCGAGCGGGATGTCGGCTCCCGCCGCGTCTCTGTGGCAAGCCGCCCTCACCCAAACCGGAGTGGGGACCGTTGTGTCACGTGTGTCGCGTCCATCCGGCAACTGCCAAATTCTGGCTGTCCGGTCACCCTGTTTAAAATCAGCCTGAGAGATGAAATGCGTTTGCGTGAGAAGGAAGGGCAGAAGGCTGAGGGGCGACGGCGGGGAGGGCCCGGGTGGGCAAACAAAAGCCGCAAAGCTACGGCGGGGCGCGTGCTTCGCCG